CCTGATACCATAAATACTCCCAAGCACTCTGAAAACCTGTACAGTTGATAACAAATAACCCATTCAAAGCCCCTGATAAAGATGTAAATGCAGAATATATCCAAACATGCCACTGTTTGGAAAATGAGTTAGCCTACTTCATCAGGAAGATTTAATCAAATAGTTTTCATATAACTTCGAATCATCGTTATAATATATTCAGCAGTTTATCGTAGGCTTCATCATAAACGTTTTTAAAATAAAGTAGATTTTACATTGGATTGTGGGCTACTTCTCTTAACTCTGCTTCCTTTTGCTAAATCATAAAGGTCGCTATTGCACAACGTGTCTTCCCTGCAAACTAATCAAGTTCACTCATACAACTCAAAGGTGTATTTGCTATCTCAACCACAGATTCAAAGTTTCTCTGTGTTTATGAGGACGGTGTAGAATACGGAAATCTCCTTTGATTTCTTTCCACCTTCATTTTTTAAACTCAATTTCCTATCTTTATTCTTCCAGAAACAGCAGAGTATATATACTGGATGGTAGGGCTGACACAGCACGGCAATCTACTCCCTGTTGAACTGTGAAATGACCCAGACCTTCCCCAGGTTATTAAGCCTTTGAAGACCTTAGTCTCTCTGCAGGCAAAGATGCCACCGGTTCTTGCACCGCCTCCGTACGTGCGGAACCAGATGTAAATCACTTCGGCTGCTGAAACTGAACCAGACTTAGCGAACCCGCAGTAGCTCTCATTTACTAATGAGGTGGCTTCACCTAAAAGCATTCCCCTGCCGAAAATGGGAAAAAGTCAGCAACAGAAAGCCTTTTACACACCAGCATGAAAGTCATCCAGCTTCTCTAGGGTTTGTTTCCAAGCACCAACGGCTACGGTAAAGCTGTACATTGCAAATCATGAGCACGACGGACTGGAACGGTTCATCTACACCGTATAGCATCACTGAACACCTCAGAGACATTTCATTAAACTGCTCTTTTTCTAACTGAGCAGATGCCATCGCTTTTGTTCTCCTCCAATGGCATTAATCCTCTGATTAAAAAAAAAAAACCTGAAAAAACTAAAAAACAAGACAGCTTCCTTCCTTCCTCCACCCACCGTCCCAGCAGTCACAGGTCCCGAGCAGAACAGCTGATCTAAGTTAAATGAGGTGCAATACCACCTTTGGCACTTAGAGCACCTTTTCAGACAGATGATAAAAGCTGGTTACAGATTGAACAGTTCCATCTTTCCATATTTAATTCCCTTTAAAAGCATGCAGATCTGAAGGATCTTTCTTCACATTCTCTTGTTCTATTTATTTTGTCCAACTACCTTTAACTTTGGGTTGGCTTTTTTTGTTTGGTTGGTTTTTATTCTGAATTGGAAACACATTGTTCAGATATTTGCCAGAAGTCAGTGAGGTTACCTATATCTCTGTTAAGAGAACCGGTTCTTTAAACAAAGGTAATCTATCAGAGTTTCTGGAAGTATTCAGTAAGGCACAGATGAAAATAAATTGGGCTGAAAAAGCTGAGAATGAATACAGATGAAACTGTGACTAATGGTCTAGCTAAATACAAGATATGAGAAGATAACCACTTGTATTGAAGACAGACACTGGGACAGTTCCTCAGGAACCAGTCTGGGATTAAACTGCCACTTGTGGCACTGCCAGTGAATTCTTTTTTAAATTTTATCATGTATTCCCACACACACGTGCCCAGGCCTATACATACGTACAAATACGTGTGCATGCATGTGTGTGTTTAATGCAATGTCCTAAAGATATCTGCTGAAGCTAAAAATTTGGGAGGCATTGTCAGTACAGGAGAATATTACAGAATGAAATAATAAAAAAAATACTGAGGAACAGAGTAATAGAAAGCGGGGTAATGGAATCAACCGTACAAACTACGGTCATGCACTTCGAGAGTAACGGGAAGAATTGATGCCACAAGGTAGAAAAATCACCAACTAAAATATAGAAAGTGTCACGAATTATTCAGAGTCACAAATTTGCCGCAAGCACACAGAAAGCAAATACACGAATAATGTTACGGGTCGCATATTTCCAGTAAAGATAAAGACATACTGATGCCACTCTACATGGCCGAATGGACATTGCCAAGGTCAGGGATGATCTACTCCTTCATCATCTGTTCTGTGCTAGAAGAAGTAGCCCTGGCCCTCGAGTGAGAACCCAAAGCATTCCCACAATATAAATAAGAATTTAATTGCCAACACTAAACAAATGAGGTTGTCCTAACAGTGTTCTCAGCGCCCAACAAGCTTAAAACGCTGCCTTGGCACAGCAGGGATCTCCAGCAGAATAAAAGGTCCTGAAGCCAATTAACTGTAATTTGAATCCCTGTCACAGAGCAGAAATCAAACATCATGGAAGATCGTAAATATACATAGATGCCAGCAATGCAGTTACAGTATGTTCTGCAATTGTTTGGCTGCAACGGCAAGGGCATTACCGATATAGCTCATGACCTTTCCTGAGCCGCCCTGACAATAAACACTTGAAAGCTGGCCTTCAAACGTAAAAACCTAAACCAGTTGATGTAGGTGCAGTATGTACCTGCAAAAGACAGGTAAGGATGGGGAAAAAAAAGAAAAAAACCCAAATGGTAAGAGAAAAACCTACTCCAATGGCAAACAACAGGAGCAGATTAATTTGCACAAGGGGAAGGGGTGGGTTCCTGTTAGTGATGCTGCCACCTTGCAGTTTGTATTTTAGGGCCCACGTTTATTAGAGGAGACCAAATGTTCTGGAGAGTTGATAGGGACTGTTAAAACTAAACATAAGCAACTAAACCACGAGTCATAAAATGATGATCTCAATAAGCTGCCAGCAAGAGATAAAGCCCTTTATCTGCGCCTGCATGTGTATGATAAATATATGCACATGAGGCACTGTGGGCAAGAAAAGCACAAAGGGTAAAGTACTTTCCATATTTAGTCAATCATTTATTTCTCTGCTGAATTTCCAAAATACGTATCTATACAGATATTGCATCCAGTATCAAGCCATATCACTTAACTAGCTCACAGATCCATTCAAAAAGGTGCCAGCCTTAACGACGGACTGATGCAACCGAGCCCAACAAATGTGGAAAGGTTTTTTTCCTCTCACAAGTATCATTTTTTGGAGATACTAAAAAATAAGAAAAGTCAACTGCTATTAATAAGCAGCTCTCTATTCTTCCCTCCTCCTCCTCAAAAAAAAAAAACATAAAGAATACTCAGTCCACCAGAGAATTCCAGGCCTAAAAAAAAGAATAGAAATATATCACCACTAGAAAAACAATAAGAAATGACCTATTGTTTTTGTTTCTGAATACTGTTGCATAATCAGCACTTGGACAAGCTTACAGGGCTTGAAATAATTTCCACTGGCACGTCAAAGTGTTTATAGCTCAGAGAAGTCTCGAGATAATCCGATCTTGACAAATCACACCAATCTATTCTTTTCTCCTTCCCCAACACAGCAATCCCAATTTTATTTTTGCAGTCAGTCAGTCTCTAACTTCTACAGCTCTCTCTCAATACGCAATCTGCATTCGTGCAGTATCGAGGCATCTCACGCCACGCTACACTGTACAAAAACCAGTAAGAAACATGACTACAGGTCTACATTTTGTCGTCTTCCTTTCTTTTCAGGACACTCAGCAGCCACTTGTGCCAAAAGAAACATGAGCAATTCTCCCTGTAGTTACGGGCAAGACTCAGGGAGATCCAGCTTGCGGTTCCTAGTTCGATATCCTCCCCAGATATTTCGAGCCCACTGGCCAACTTTTAATTCTGACAAAAAGAGAGAGACAAAGAAAAGAAAAGAAAAAAGAAAAGATTTTGCTGTGCAGAGGAAAGAGCCAGCCTAGTCCTTCTGCTGAGAGAAAGGCTCGGGGCTATGTGTCTGGCTTGCCAGCTGGCCAATTTATAGCAGCACGTGCTTCTTTGCATCAAGGCAAAGGGGACATGGGAAGGAGCTGAGAATACAAGGGGAGAGAAGGAGTCAGGGCCACGGGCAGAAAAGGAAGGGAAGGAAATTTACAGTGAAGGGGAAATACAAGGCATTACAGGAGGGGAAAAAATAAAAGCAGAGAATGGGGAAGAGGAGAAAAGCCAGACATTAAAAACATAGCATAAAACTATGGAGCTTCTACAGCTCCATTCCTCAGGAAATACCCTGCCAGAAGCAGCTGGATTTGTCACCTTTCTTGGCCACTTTAGACATCTTGGATCAGCTACCAAAAGCCCTCATCTCATTTCTTACTAGTTTTAGTTTACACATTAATTGTTTCAATATTGCTGAAGGCTGCTTATTACTCCAGGGGGAAAAAAGAGATTGGGAATGCGGTTGTGGAAATAGGAAAATTTTTGTGAAGGGGGGAAAAAAGAAAAAAGCTACTTTCTTAGGAGACGTTCCTCCCAATGCATGGAATTATCACAATGTCTCTACCTCCCAGCTAGCTCCGTTCAAGGCTTATTTTTAGATGCTCTCTGTCCGACTCTCTGCACAGGGATGTTTCTTACTGATATGGCTCAGTCCCAATTCACGGTCTCGCAGGAAAAAGCCAGGACTAGGACAGAGAGGCTAGGACTTTCTATCACTAGCAAGAGTGAATTCAGAATTAACTTTTGCAAACTATGAAATAAAGACTCTTTATCTGCTAAAGCTTTACTTCAATTCAACCAGCCCCCAAACTAAGCCAGTCATCAGCAAGAATCGGTGACTCTTCATTTGGCACAAGGAAGCAGCAGTATGGATTGCGTAAAGCGCAGCAAACCAGGGGAAGCGCAGGCTGACAGAAGCAGAAGGTGTTATTGGAAGTCCTTGTACTGTAGGTGTCCATGTAGTAAACCTGAAACGATCACTCACTCCTCTATCTTCTGTACCCTTTTTTTTGGCTGTGGCCCAGTACACCTCCTGGAGGTGGTTTCACCCTGGAACAAGGTCCATTGGACAATTACCGGATGAAGATAAGAGATTTGATAATCACACACTACCAACCTTGTTTGTTCGTGGGTTTAACATCAGTGGCTTGCCTTTTTCTTTCGTATGTGCACTGCGACATGCCATCGCACAGGGAGTGGCAGCTACCCTTAGTCGGGAGAACATTTTTTTTTTTTATACTGCACCTGCGAAAAGGAAAAGAAAATCATTCAGATACAGAGGCAGTGGACCTAATGTTCATATTTGTACGCCATCTGTTGTAAAAGAAATAGGTACATGCTAGATAAGACTCTTTGCCCTAACGCCATGATAATAACCCCAAATTGCCTTGCGGCAGCCAGGAGGAAGAAAAAGAAGGAAGGCTTTACAACGACGAGAGCACAGGAGCGGAGAGAACATAAAGGGATACTCATGCGAGCTAGCATTATGCTGTGGGCTGCAGTCAGCCAGCATTCACTAGGTATTGTCTTATAGCTGCACCAGAAACCCAGAGCAGAATTGCCATTAGCAAATATTAACCTCCTGTGGTGACCCGTGCAACTGGCACCAGTGCAAATACCAGGGAGGACAGAATAACTTGGGCTAGTACGGCAAAAAAAATTTAAGCTGAGCTTCTGCAATAGCTTTCTTACAATGAAATCTTGTGGCCTGGACAACAGAAAGGAAAGAAACTATGTCTATTAGCATATTAAAACTAGATGAGAACAAAATGTAGAATTACAATGGTCAAAAATTCACTGAACTCTGGATTCCATGCTTAGATTTTTTTAAATTCCAAACCTAAAAAAACCTGGTTATTTTCAGAGAGAGTATACCCTTTTCATTAAAGGCTATGTTTCCCTAACAAAATAAAAAAAATTGTTAATACCACTCAAAAGCTTAGTTCTTGCCAGGTGATAACCACTCTCAAACCCATTTTATTCAACTATTAATTGCAAGCTCTTTGGAGCAGAAATTATCACTTATTACATGCTTATACGACGCAGTACCACCAGGGAACGCGTACTGGACTCGTCTCTAAACGTTATTTCACCAACACAGGGAGACAACAGCGAGACCTTACACAGGACCGCGGCCTGTATGAAGACACATTAAGATAGCAGGCCAGAAAGGACAGACGTACACAGCTCGGATGCAATATCGTGCAGAATCCTGACATGGGGAGAGGAAAAAAAAAAAAAAAGAGATCCCTTTAGCAATAGGCCTGTACAGTCAGTGGAGGAAGACAGAGATCCAGGATCAGCATGGCAGGGAACCCCTCTCCCTCTCCCGTTGCAGCCGGTGCTCTGGACGTTCACATCCAAAACACGGGCAAGGACAGTACAGCAGGTACGAGACATTTTTAAGGAATGAAATGATGCATGGTTCGGATTTTTAATTTCTTCCAGATGGAAGCCAAAATTAGATTAAGGGACAAAACCTCATTATCTTAAATATAGCCTGAATACTTTAGAAGACCTCTCTATAATCAAATTTACATATAATCAGCTTTTAAGATGGCAGACCGATCTTACAAGTTGCAATCCCAGGATTTTCTTCAAAATCTTTCCAAGCCTTAAAAACACATGCAAACATTTAATATTTTTCATCATCAGTTACACCCGAGTTTCTCTTCTACCCATTCTAAAGCGTAGAGGAAAGAAGCACTAACATTCA